ACTGAACGTAATTTTAATGGAATTTCTATAGAATTAGTATACACACGATTATAGAGAGTGTAAGAGTTTTGGTATCATTGATATCAACCTCTATATTTCTATAAATGTACCACACTTCCCCAATCATAAGCCCAGGGGCCTGAACATGTAAAATCAAAGAAAGTATAAAGGGCTTATACAATACTCGAGGACCACCTCAGAAAAGATGATTTTTTTTTGGTTTACCATTGTAACCATTTTACCACACATTCTATAAAAAAAAATAATTGACTTGAATTTTCCCTGTTGGCTCCAAAATTAGGGTTCATTTCCAGACATATTGAAAAATATGAGAAACAAGCATTGATAATGCATAGTCCCCGTTTTAATAGTATTAGCTGTAGTCGATATAAATGTTCAGTACAAGTGACATGTAGAAATGAAAGATCAATGTTTTTTTTACACCGACACTAAAATATACTGGACTGGATATTTGAAAACCCCTGAAATTTTATAGGTGTCTATATGAATTAATCAAATGAAAATACTGATGTCACTTTTTCAATGATAACTATATAACAATTTGTGAGTATTGGTAATTGGTTCACATATCAGAGAATATGATCCAATGAAAGTAACAGTAACTGTTCACATATAGAGAATATGATCCAATGAAAGTAACAGTAACTGTTCACATATTAGAGAATATGATCCAATGAAAGTAACAGTAACTGTTCACATATTCAGAGAGTATGATCCAATGAAAGTAACAGTAACTGTTCACATATTAGAGAATATGATCCAATGAAAGTAACAGTAACCTTTTACATATCAGAGAGTATGATCCAATGAAAGTAACAGTAACTGTTCACATATCAGAGAGTATGATCCAATGAAAGTAACAGTAACTGTTCACATATTAGAGAATATGATCCAATGAAAGTAACAGTAACTGTTCACATATCAGAGAATATGATCTAATGAAAGTAACAGTAAGTGTTCACATAACAGAGAATATTATCCAATGAAAGTAACAGTAACTGTTCACATATCAGAGAGTATGATCCAATGAAAGTAACAGTAACTGTTCACATATAAGAGAGTATGATCCAATGAAAGTAACAGTAACTGTTCGAATATGATCCAATGAAAGTAACAGTAACCTTTCACATATCAGATATGCTCCAATGAAAGTAACAGTAACCGTTCACATATCAGAGAAAATGATCCAATGAAAGTAACAGTAACTGCTCACATATCAGAGAATATGATCCAATGAAAGTAACAGTAACTGTTCACATATCAGAGAATGTGATTCAATGAAAGTAACAGTAACTGTTCACATATCAGAGAATATGATCCAATGAAAGTAACAGTAACCTTTCACATATCAGATATGCTCCAATGAAAGTAACAGTAACTGTTCACATATCAGAAAATATGATCCAATGAACGTATCAGTAACTGTTCATGTATTAGAGAATATGATTAAATGAAAGTAACAGTACTGTACACACATTAGTGAATACGATCCAATGAAAGTAACAGTAACTGTTTACATATCAGATGAAAGCAGCAGCGACCGTTCACAGACCAGTGAATATGTGATCAAATGAAAGTACAGTGATAATAAAAACCACACAAAACATCAACGTCTGTTTGCAGCTTGAATTACGCAATGCCTGCTATTTTTGTTGTTTATGTGATCTCTATATTTCACATTGATGGAACTTGCAGGCAATTGAGAAAGCAGGTTCAATTGCCTATCCTTGATTAAAACTCAATTGAAATTATAATACACATTAAAGGTATTGCTTCAATTCATAAGAAACAAATTTCTATCTACTTCAATCTAACTGAAAAGGTAATTACATTTTCAAGTCCTTTGATGTGTAAATTTGATGTCTACTTTAAAAACCAAATGAATATCTTTAACCATTTTACAGACGGAATGACAGGTGGCTGAATACTTTACATAAAAGTAGAGATTGGCTGACGTTTAACAAGATTCCATTAAAATACACATGATTAAAGACAAATGTAATGTTGCATTAGCAAACTTATCTTCCAATTTAGTTACAATCGTCATATCATTTCTATAGAATTATTATGAGAAATATTTGATGGTCTAATTATGTACAAATTATGGAAAACACAAAATAAATATTCAAATTTCAATGAATTTCAGAGAATTAGAATGCTGGTAATTGTTTTACAGACGGAATGACAGCGTGGCTGAATACTTTACATAAAAGTAGAGATTGGCTAACGTTTAACAAGATTCCATTAAAATACACATAATTAAAGACAAATGTAATGTTGCATTAGCAAACTTATCTTCCAATTTAGTTACAATCATCATATCATTTCTATAGAATTATTATGAGAAATATTTGATGGTCTAATTATGTACAAATTATGGAAAACACAAAATAAATATTCAAATTTCAATGAATTTCAGAGAATTAGAATGCTGGTAATTGTTTGAACTTCGTATTTGATTGTTGTTTTGTTGTCGCATCAGACACATGATTGGTAGACCCAAGTTAAAATCCTACCTATCAGACTCAATGGGAAGGCCAATTCCACTGGCCGAGATTCATTCACTAATGAATGCGACTTTGGGGGAACCTTGGTTAAACCCTGGTTGACGCCTGGCCACACAGCCCTGTCATGTAGTCCCAAACATGAATATGATTTCTGTGACAAAAATGCACCATGTGTCAGCACAAAAAAAAAGTCAGGAGAGACAACAGGGACATTCAATATCCGGAACTTAATAGTTCCCATGCTCATAGAGTCATAGAAAACAAAGAAACACAAGAACTTAAATTTATTAAACAACAGTAAATTTCCTACTGGATATAAAATATGACAAATATGAAAACAAATATTAGAATATACATTAATTTAAAATTAATTACAATTTCAAAGACTATTTAAATGTGTTAAATACAAAGAACAAATAATCACAATTTAGCCATAGTAAAAGGAAGACACACCCAACCAAAAAACCATTAGAAAATAGGATTTGTAGACATTGTTCATAGAAAATGAAATACACTTCGTTTTGGTATGTCTAAAATACCAAACACGCCAAAAAGAAACTTTCTTCAATATTATATTTCCAAAAAAAAACATCACTAATCTGTGGAAAGTCATTTATTAAATAAAAGTAGTCACAAAAATACAATTAAGCTGTTAGGTGATTTTATTCACAATTCTTTTATTTTAAGAAATAAACATTCTCTTGATTTGTAATACCCCCCGGTACTGGCTAATACTATTACATTTATTTTATATACATATTGCTTTTAACTGATAGAAAATGTTATTTCTAAGGATGCAATAAAGATTGTTATTATTATTATACATGTATTAAAATTTATTCCATCAAATATGTAGAGGTTGAACCAATTTTCAAGACCAAATTTTATAAACATTTGTAGGTAGAGCTGAAAATATTGACTTGACTAATAAGGTTTCCCTAAAGTCGCATTATTAATCTTGAACAGAAGCTTTGGCCTCCCTAGTAAGCCTGACAGTGGCACACTCACTCAGGGTAATCCCTTTTTATATGTTTGATCCTATGTAGGACCTAAACTGACTCAGAACTAACTGATCATAGGTCTAGTACAGAAACCACTACAGTCTTGGGTACACTGTAAGATTTCTTTTTATATCAAATTATTTGTAATTTTTATATAAATGCCCCTGAACATATGAACTGGTATTGTTTCTTGTGCCAGGGAAAATTGAAATTGAAATTTTAATTTGAAGAATTTTTCTTTGGTATTAAGATTATTCAAATACCACAAGAAGATGAAATATTTTCAATGTTCAACATTTATTAAATATTGTGATCGCATTCTTGCATTAAAAGTTTATTTGGATCGACGAAACATACTCTGAAACAAACATTTTCTTATTTCACCGTATATGTCGCACATCACATGTACGTGAAAATGCCGTAAATAAAACAGATATGCAAGAGTTAACTATATTTCATATTTTATATTAAAAATTTGTGATTTTTGCAAGATAATAGCATGTGCTCGCAGAATATCACAATATTCAAAGTGTTTTATTCAATGAAACAAATTTCTATTAGACCTCACAATTTTTTAGACAGACACTATGCCAATTCAGATGACTGACGGACGCAAATTAAATAGCTTATTTCAAACCCTACATGTATATTATAATGTAGACATAGTTTAAATTCACTAGACTATAGCTCAATAGTGAATTATAACTGCCCACATCAAGTTTTATCTGAGATATATCTAATGAGTTTTATTTACCGGTAAGTGAGAAAAACAAAAGAATATGAATCCCCATCACAGGAGGGCACAACTCACTATTAAATTTGATGTAAGTTATACTATTTAATGAAACCTACTTCTCACCGTTACATATGTAGCAATATAGGTTTTAGCAATTAGAATTTTTTCACCATCAGAAAAAACGTTAAACAACAGAAAATAAGATCTCATTCTATACAATGTTAATTCTACTTTAAAATAATTCTTAGCGACAAACTATGCAATGATCTGTGAGTAAATAACACCGTTGCTTTGCTGAAATGAATTGATGGATTCTTTTCGATACAATTGAAAAGCTAAACATTGGCATTGATGATTAGATGGTGTGTTAACCTGTCATATTGATGTGGAGTTATGTACAATAGGAGACACACTTAGCATAGTTTCCTGTTTTTTGTCGTCATGGCCACAGAAAGGAGATATATCCTGAGTCGAGGAGTGCTGCTGCACGACTGTGTGAAGGCAATTCAACTCATAAATAGGTCCCTTTCTATATTTTACCGCAATTCAATCTCGATAACCAGTATCGGTAATTGTACATTCACAGCATATGAACCTCAACTCAAATTTGCCACGTTGTCATGGATACTAAAAAGTCAGCAATCAAACGCTTCTATAACCATGTCACTATAGATGTGGGTGCACACATGCTGACCTAAATACATAAATTATATAATCTTGTAATTCCATACTCACCTCCCATAATGATCTGAAATCTTTCTGTTCTATTCGTAAGAATTCACAGTATTCTGTCGTGATTACCGTAGCGTGTCGTGGTGTATCGCTCAACACTGATTCACCAAAAGCTGTGCCAACACCCAGCGTGCAGATTGTGATAGCGTCCTACAAAATGGATGAATTATACGATTAGATGTGATAAGTTGGCGGAATTCAATTGGTGCATTTACACCCAGACCATATGTGCTAGACTTAGTAATATATATGTGTACTATCGAGAGCACTTTAAAAAATCCCAATTACAGACTGAAGTAATGACATTGACTACAAGTGCTTATCTGAAAAGCATACCAATAAACAAACATATACTACCTAGCATATAAACTGCAAAATACTGTTTTGGGCGCACTGAAAGCATATCACCAATAGGACTCATTATACATGCATTGACTCAAGTTAACAAAGTATTAAAATGATGTTGTTCCCTGATAGTTTTTTTTTTTAACCCTATTGCGCAAGACTTCTAGCTGTTTCGTCTCAGATGCTAATTGCAAGTGCATTTACATTTGACCCAGCCCTGACCTTAATACCACTTGTTAGAAAGCAGAGCAGACTGTACTCTCACTTATACTAAATGTCAACACTTTTTTTTTTCAACCCAAGGTAGGTTTTAAACTTAGGTCTGCCGATTATTAGTCTAATCTAAAAACCACAATGCTACCAGAGACCAGTGATATGTCATATATGAAGAAAACGAATTAAAAGTATCCCCGGTTACTAAACTTAAGTTTGAAGAAATCGATTAATAAAAGACATTTTTTTGTTCTGTTTAAGAGAATTACCATGGTTTCCTACGGCAAAAATACATCTCTAAAGTTTTAGCTCAGTGAAATATGGTGAAAAAAGATAATTATACAAAAAGTACTTTTTGATGTCGAGAAGTATTTACAATAAATTTCAGTGAGTTTTTAACAAGAAAATACATTTTCATTGTGGTCTATGGAAACCACTTCTAAAATGATATTTTATGCACATTATTTGACTTATTTTTTTTGAAAAAAAAAACGATTGACAGTAAACACAAAAAATTCACATTCTGTTGACTAATATTAAAATGAATAATTGTAGACTGATTTTGATGTGAAAAATTGTCACTACCATATGCACTAAAATATACACACAAGTGAAATTCTCACAAGTAGGATTCTACCTAAATGATTCTCACCTTTGGATCTCCTGTCTCAGAGACGTTAACATCCACTGTACCAGTAAGAACTGCATACCAATTGGTTCCCATGTCACCTTGTCGAAACACTGAAATAAACACAAATAATTGAAGTTAATACCAAGTATTAACAGAGGTACATTACTTAGGGTTTGCAACTATGGTGACATGATACCAAGATCCCGTTTCAATCTCGCTCTTGCATAAGCGTTCCAACTCAGAAAAAAACGAATGCGCATGCCCGAGGTAACTAGAATACTGGGATGTCCAGGTGGATCAAAATAGCTGCTCACGATATGATGGATTACGATAACTATATTTTCCGGACATTTTCGATGTATTACATTTTTTCACTATGAATGTAGTACATGTAATACATGTTTTATTACAAACCGCCTATGTCATGTCAGAAGTTCGTAGCACCTGTCTCGCTTATCTACGAGATGAGACTTGAATGGGATCTTGACATGATTCATCATACAGTACTATGCGCGTTGCAAACCCCAAGTAATGTACCTGTGGTATTATTTATACAACTGACATTTGTAGAATTCTTGTGCTAAGCTCATACATTAATAAAAATAATTATATCAGGAAATTATATTAACTAATAAGTACAATTTAGTTGTGCTCGTTCAGGATTAGGATCACAGTTATGGATTATACAGTTGTGTTGACATCACTCATTGTACACAATACAACCATATCAAATTTCACCACCAGACTTTCCCGCCCAAATTATTCTGTACTTTTTTTTATATTCTTCAATATTTTTTGAAATAAATGCCAATTTTGGAGCCAGCAGACATAATTTGTGTCAGTTTTTTGTATTTACTTTAAAAAAGACTATAAGCTGGACTATTCTGTGAATTTGTGATGAAAAGAGAGAACTGGTGTTGAAAAGGTTAAAGGTTATACGGAGGCAAAGATTTATCACTGGTATAAATTGATGATGATTTAGTGACAATCATTGGAACCAAATTACTCAAAAGTTGTTGTGATTTTGGAGCTTTAGGACAACAGGTGAAATAAAAATGAAAACAGGTATTTTTTGAATATTATGAGGTCATTACGATACCTCAAAGTATGCACGAAGACAGTACAGCAAGAGTATCGACCAACGTGCAGGTCGATACGATGGTATACTGTCTGAGTGCATACTTGTCGGTATCCTTGTAATAACCTTATTATTAGAATACATCTTTTCCTTCCAAGAATACATCATGGGAATGCCGAAATACAAAAAGTTTGGAACACAATCAGCGAACTTCTTTGTGTGTAAGTCAAACCCTGATTGCAGCCATGTTTGTTTTTATTATTAGAGAACGCTTACGCGCATAATCATTCCATATTTGGAATTCATATTTCCTAATATGGTTGGATGAAATTACCCTGTAAAACACCGCAAAATTATGGCACGCTGTAACTTACGGCGTTAAACTTTATTAACCATCTAGGGCCTGCTTAATCTAAAACCATTGTGTGCCAGATAACAATTTCAACTACTCACAGGTAATGCCTTTTTCAAGGTCTTCATAGTAACCATAGTAACAGATCTGTTGTAGTAAGAGTGGATGGAATCTTTCAAACGCTTTCACATCTTTGAGTCTAGAGTAGATGATATCCAGGTCTTCACCGGTTCTGTCCGCAGGCCTGCAATTAGCAAAGAGACATGATACATTGTATAAGTGATGAATCAAGTCAGGGTTGCCATGGTTTCCCTGTGACATGGTCAGAAATAGTAATACTAACATGTCAGTGATAAAGCAAAAAATCAAAAACGCCGTGATCACTGCAATAAATTATTGAATTATTACCAAAGATAGTTATGTCATACTCTCGGTTTACAGCAGAATATATCTTTGCACAGCCAGAGGTAGTTTTTTTTTAACTGATGTGGTGACAGATTTTTATTTTTCCAGTAGATACACTTGATTTAAATGATGTCAAGGGGGTATTACTAGGTGGAATAATAATTAACTTGATGGTTCAGCTCTACCAACAACTTTAAATCAACAAGGAAAATTGAGATACGATTGTGATGAAATATCATGTTTACTCGCTTATAATTGTCATGACGACCAACAGGAGAATTGAGGTAATGTGGAGAAGGTATTACACTGTCATGGGCCTGAGTTCTCTCTGTGTTATTTTGATTTCTGTAAGTACCAGTGCAGGCATGTCTCTGTAATGCTGGAAAATACGCTCTGTATACAAGTACATTGTACAATGCAAAGCATTTGACCAATCAACTGA